GCTTTACAAATAAAATACAATTCTCAGTAAAAAGGGTAAATAAATTATTTATGTATAAATTAAAGTTACATGCTGTGTATGATTTGTTTCCCCTTTTTCTTCAGTGAAATAAATATCAATTAAATATATTGTTGTTGTGTTCTGCATCTTCACAACAACAACATCAAACACAGCAGAAGTACAGAGCAAAATAGATTATTTAAACTACAATCCAATAATAATAATAATAATAATAATAATAAATGGTGATGCAGAACAGAGCAGTGGCACAAGGCAATCACAGCAGGCAGACACATAGTATAAGAGCTCAGCACAGATATGCATGGATACATAACACAGGGGCATTACAGTGTGAAGTACCTGTACATACAAGGCTTTTTATTTTTTTGGCAGCAACAGAGCCAGTGGCAACAGCAGATGAACCAGCACAAATGGCAGTCCGATATCTTGCGTCGCAGCTACTGGATGTAACTGATGTAACAGTGATCACATTAATGAACATACCCACATGTCCAAAATATAAAAAATAAAAAAACTTGTCAGTGCATAGAATCAGAACAGCACAGAGGCATGACAGCGTGTTATACAGGTGTGAATGGGACACACAATGATTTCCCCCCTTAAACCATATGACAGGCAGCAGACACACAGCAGGCCTATAAGACTTGTCAGTGCATAGAATCAGAACAGCACAGAGGCATGACAGCGTGTTATACAGGTGTGAATGGGACACACATTTTTTTTCCAAGCAGAGTGTCACTGTGCTGTAGAAGAGTTGTGGCAGGGTGGGTGGACCGGTGTTGGTAGAAAGCCTCCACACTGCGGCAAAGTCCCGGTCCTTGTGGAGGGGAAAGTCAATGTCTTTTAAAAAAAAACACACACACACAACACTGCAAACAACTATATACACCTGCCCCAGCAAGAGTGCGAAATCAGTCCGGGGCTCGATTGCATGTGAAACAGGAAAAAGCCAGAATTACATGGGAAACGCTAAAAAGTCACTTTTAATAGTTTTGTCCATTACAGCCAAACTAAGTGAGAGAGCCACACCAAACCACTCTATAATGTACAAGTCGCCGCTGTGAAGCTTCCTGAGGTGGAAACTGGCAGATAGGTGCTTCTGGAAGAGAATGGCAGCTTGTGTGAAAAAGCTTGTTTTCTCAGCCTGAGAAGCTCATTCAGCACACTTAGTTGGAAAAACACCAAAGTCCCACAGAATTGCATGTGAAAAAGGAAAAAGCCAGAATTACATGGGAAAAGCAAAAAAGTCAATTTTAATATTTTTGTTCATTACAGCCAAACTAAGTGAGAGAGCCACACCAAACCACTTATGCATCACTTTAATTATGCCACTGTGAAGCTTTGCAAGTCCAGAATGAATTATTCTGTGGTCAAGTGTGCCCTCTTTTGTCGAAAAAGCGTAACTGCATTTGGAAGACAGAAAACCACTCTATAATGTACAATTCACCGCTGTGAAGCTTCCTGAGGTGGAAACTGGCAGATAGGTGCTTCTGGAAGAGAATGGCAGCTTGTGTGAAAAAGCTTGGTTTCTCAGCCTGGCACACTTAGGTGGAAAAACACCAAAGTCCCACAGAATTGCACTGTGAAACAGGAAAAAGCCAGAATTACATGGGAAACGCAAAAAAGTCACTTTTAATAGTTTTGTCCATTAGAGCCAAACTAAGTGAGAGAGCCACATCAAACCACTTATGCATCACTTTAATTATGCCACTGTGAAGCTTTGCAAGTCCAGAATGAATTATTCTGTGGTCAAGTGTGCCCTCTTTTGTCGAAAAAGCGTAACTGCATTTGGAACACAGAAAACCACTCTATAATGTACAAGTCACCGCTGTGAAGCTTCCTAAGGTGGAAACTGGCAGATAGGTGCTTCCAGAAGAGAATGGCAGCTTGTGTGAAAAAGCTTGTTTTCTCAGCCTGAGAAGCTCATTCAGCACACTTAGGTGGAAAAACACCAAAGTCCCACAGAATTGCATGTGAAACAGGAAAAAGCCAGAATTACATGGGGAACGCAAAAAAGTCACTTTTAATAGTTTTGTGCATTACAGCCAAACTAAGTGAGAGAGCCACACCAAACCACTCTATAATGTACTAGTCACCGCTGTGAAGCTTCCTGAGGTGGAAACTGGCAGATAGGTGCTTCTGGAAGACAATGGCAGCTTAAATGAAAAAGCTTCTTTTCTCAGCTGTTGTTCGACGTCATCCCGAGCACATGGTTACTTATCATATGGCGAATTAAAGGCACCTGCACGCATTTAAAGCAAGGAGACCTGTTTTGTTAAATGTGCATTAATATTTGTATCGTTTTGGCCTCCTGAATGGCTCCAGGTTTAAAAAGTCAAGTTAAAAAGTATTTAAATAGACATGACAAGGTTTTAATCAATTCAATATTTATTAGGAATGGTCAAAATGTATAATAGATAAGCTGGGAAAGTGCAATGTAGCAGCAGCATTACACACAGTAACAACACACAGACATATCAAAAAAATCAACATAGAATGCAATATAAAAAATGGATAAATAACCAGTATAATTGCAGTGCAAACTAAAAATAAAAAATATAAGGTGCAGTGAACAGATGAAACATATAAGGTGCTTGGATAATAGTACAGTAAATATTTAAAAAAAAAAACTTTTAATGTCTTTTTAAACTCTTCTCAGCCAGCCACAGCTCCACAGTCTTCCCTTCATAGAAAGCACAGAAGTGCTCTCCCCCATATTGGCTGTGGCCAAAGTCTTTCTGCTGTGGCTGGCCACAGAGTTGGCAGATCCGCAGTTTGTGGGGCTTCCTCACTTTCCCACCTGGTTTCTCTGGTTTCTCATGCCTCTGTTTGAGGTTCCAGGCTGTTGTTCTGGGGAGCTTCTGTAGCTCACCAGGGCCAAGCTGTTCCCTGATCTACTCTTGCACTGTGCGTCCTCCAGGGCCCTCTTCCACAGCACAAAAGTATTGGCCCTTGAGGTAAGTGTGGCCACCATCCACCGTGCATGCTTGGCCACGGATGTTGCAGGGGTCACCAGGTTTGTGCTGTGGCTTTCCCCTGGTACTTTGGAGGACTTTTTTGTCTTTTGCCGCTTTAATTTTGCGCCTGTACACAGTGCAACGGGTGGGCTTGCTGGTCCCCGCCACTGGCTCTGCTGCCTGAAGCCGTCAAGGAGAGGAGCTGGAGGAGGAGGAGGAGGAGGATGTGCAGTCGTAGTCCACTTAAATACAAATACAATACAGAACTCTGTTAGTCAAGGTACATAGAAACACAGATGCAGTTTAACAAAGTATATTTCTAACAAACCTAATGAAGTGACGTGTTTGGTTTTCCGCGTTGCTTTTCTGCCTTCCATTCTGTCCAACTAAACCCTCAGCACCCCCTGTTGTTTTACAGTGTCCATTTGAGGCCCATTCTCACCTAGTCTCTAGGTAAACCTTTGAACCTGACCCTGGGTTGACCCCTTGACCCTAGTTTTAAGTGAGGAGAGGGAATGATGTATTGTGTGACTGTTACCTGTGGGAATTTAGTGATATCAGGCACCTAGTCTAGATACCTAGTCTTCCCTATATTTATTTAATTTCTTAAAGACCGAAAGAAGCAGGAGAAAGCATTGGTTTAAAAAAGAAAAGTTTATTTAAAACAAAAACAATTAAGACAGCAATATACAACTATATAGATATATATTGGAATTTCCCCATTGTGGGACAAATAAAGGAATATCTTATATAAGACAACTATATACACAATATTTATTTAGCAAACATAATTGACAAACTAAATACACTATATACACAATATTTACAAATCCCTCCCTCCCAAACACACACACACACACACACACACACACACAAAGCGTTCGCTCAGAGAGGGGGAGCCGCCCCATCACTCACTCACACACACACACACACACAAAGTGAAGTGTTCGCTCAGGCAGGGGGGGCTGCTCCATCACGCCCCTTCACCTCTGCCAGCCACTGCTCCACAGTTCTCCCTTTCCCCTCGGCCCGGGAGCAGAAGGTCTCCTTCTTGTAGCGGCTGTGGCCAAACGCCCGCGTCTTCGGTTGGCCACTGCGCCTGCAGTTAAAGTGGGAGACCTTCTTTGCTGGTTTTAAGTGTTCTCCCAGCTCCCGGCACAACGCTCTTTCTCCTCCTGGAGCTTGCGCCTCCAGGCGGTGTTCCTTGGCACTGGTGGAGCAGTGGCAGCTGTGGCTGTGGAGGGGATGTCACCGGCCTCCGCGCTGACGCTGGTGGACAGGACGGCGTCCGCGCTGGAGGCTTGTGGGGTGGCTGATGAGGAGGAGGAGGAGGCAGTGGAGGAGCTGGCGACGATGAGGTCCAGGACCAGAAGCGTCCGTGGGCAGGCGGTGCTGGAGGGGCTGGTCTGGCTGCTCAGGCTGCTGCAGCACAGTCGGTGGGGCAGGCAGGGGCTCCGCTGCAGTCTGGGGAGTGCTGGGCCCCAGGACTGCAATGGCGATGGTGTCCCTCATCATGGCCTTGCTCCTCTGGTTGTGCCTTAAAAAAACAGAATGTAACAAATGCACATTAGTAATCATGACATCACACACACACACTCACACAGTGCCACTTCAAATCAGATGTGAGAGAAAGGATCAGGTCTTACCATTGCGTCAGGGTCCGCCGATTGACATCATGTAGCTGGATGCGGGTGCTCGTCATGAGGGCTGCACAACTATAAACATTCTCGCGAATTGTTAGATAGTCCCTCATGACGGCACCCCAGCGAGGAATCCAGACCCCGGCAATCTTCCTGCCCTCGCTGCAGTGGAGGATGCTGAGGTCCAGCAGGACAGCCTCCACAAGCCTCGACACATCGGGAGACTGCGCCGCTCCCGCCCCCTTGCCCAGGACCGCACTACATAGACAGAGAGAGAGAGAGGAGAGAGAGAGAGAGAGAGAGTGAGTCAGTGAGTTAATTAGTGACTGACAGGACAGGACAAGAACCAAAAAAAGCTTGGAAATTTATTGTGACTGCTTACCGCTTCACACTATCCACACCCCTGGCATGTGAGCGTGCCGCTGGGTGGTCCGGAATCGGCCTTGGACAAGCCGGCCCTGGTGACGGGGGGGGGGGGAATTTGACCGCTGCCTTGTCCCAATCACTCAACTTCAGCCAGAGAGCGGTGATCTCTCTGGCTTGCCTGGGAGTGACGTAGCGGCGGTGGCGCAGTTCCACGAGGGCCTGGGCCAGGGCCACGACGTGCTGGTAGCTGCCTCCACCTGGCCCGATAACATCCTCCTCCTCCTCCTCCTCCTCCCTCCTCCCCCCAGCCTGCTGCACCTCCATTTGGTCCACGCGGGTGAGGTTTGAGGACTGAAGGAGAGCGCTGTGGTGTTCGAGGAGACGAATCTCCTCTGGTTCCTCCTCCTCGAACTCTTCATCACTGCCCCCCCACCCCCCCCCCGGCTTCGTCCTCATCAGTCCCTCCTGGAGCGTCAGGATCATCCAGGTCCTTCTGCAGCACAGCGCCCGTCTGGGAGAACAGGTACTCCACCCCAATGAGTTCCCCTGTGGGCACACAGAGACACAGATGTTAAATGACAGACACCTAAGACAGGTGTTAAACGTTACCGTTACCTCAGACAGATTTATGACTTACCTGTGTACTCCCTGGGCATGGTGTACGTGTCGACCAGCGTGAGCCCAAGAAGCTCTTGGGTCAGCTGGTCGAAGCTGTGCTGCAGCTGGGCACTGTAGCAACGCAGCGCCGACCTCTGTCCTCCCTCGATTCTCGTTCCACCGCACCAGGCCCTCCAGCAGGTACACCTGGAAGTGTACATCACTTGCAGATTGTCCTAAGCAGAAACAAAGCAACACAGTTAGTGTGAGGACAAATAAACACACAAATACATAATTGAGTCTGTGTTGTAAACCACACATGTACTTACCTGGGATGAAGCGGCACAGGTGCAGGTGGAACGATTCCAGGGAAGTGGAGCCTCGGCCGCACCGGGTAGACGGGGAGCCTCACCCCGCCTTTGGTGAGCTCTCCCGTCTTGGTGTAGAGGTCCACTCCCGCAGGGTCCTGGATTCAGTCGAGGTGTCGGCGCAGCGTGCTCCAGATCTCCTCCATTCGGGCGCGGTCGATCAAAGGGACGCCCATGCTGTCCCACGTGCCAGGGTGTCCAGCACCTCTTGGACCAGCCGCTCCGTCTCCACTGCACCCCTGGTGCGGCGCCGGCAGTGACGGGCGAGCTCCTTGGCGGACAGCTTGACCTCCTGGGCGTCCCTCCCCTCCTCGGACTGCTTGGCTCCTCTCAGGCGGGACACGTCTTCGGCGTCCCACTCAAAAATGGCGAAGGAGAGCCTCGCCATGAAGAGGCCGTAGAGCTGGTGGCTGTCGGTGGTCACCCCTCTGGCGAAACGCCGCATGAGGTGCCACACGTCGAGCCTGACGACCAGCTCGTGCCACTCGTGGAACAGCTTGGACGTTTGACACTGTCCCACGGTGGCACAGCAGTCCCGGTCCACGTACAGGACCCTTGGAGGGGCCTTCCCGGCTTCGCGGTACCATGCCATGTCGACAAGTCCGCCCCCCCTCAGCTGCGGTGAGGACGGACATGAGCACCTGCCCGTACTCATTGCCGACGTTGGTGACCCAGGCGGCCGTCCCGGCAGCACCGCCCGCAAGCTTTTTGGTGATCTGTGTGACACAGCAACACAACAACATTCAGACACATGACAAAACAAACATTACACTGGGTACACGGCACGCTGTGGTGGATAACAAAACCTACCTTCTTGGTGGAGTCCATCTTCAAAAGATCACCAAAGATGGAAGTGACTCTGGCTCTCGTCTCGTCGAGCCTCGTCAAGGCGTCCCTGACGTAGACGTTGATGAGCCAGAGCACTGTGGGCACCGGGTGCATGGTTGGGAGCGACGACGCCGCCAGCGGCGCAGCGCCCGGTACCCGAGCTTGCGGAGCACGGAAAGGTACAGCATCGACCGCGCCATCCACTCTCTGGTGTGCGCTCCACCAGAGAGGCACGGAGGCGAGACGCACTGTTGCCCAAAGTGCGCTCCTTCATGAGCCCGATCACAGCTCTGTCGCAGGACAACCTGGGAGGGGAAAGAGGTGATCAGAGGTTACTGGAGAAAACCACAGAAATACATTACTGTTGCTGTTACTGTTTACATTACTTACTTGTACGTGAGAACTGCTGGAAACTGCTCACGATGGGCCATGTCCAGCTGTCCCAAGATGTCCTGCGACCATCCCGGCATCTTCTTGTGACAGGAGCTGCATTCCAGGTACTCCGTGCCCATGAAGTACCAGCAGCTCCTGTCCAAGACCCTCCTCACCGTCTTGTAGAGGCCAGCTCCCGCAAGCTTGCCCCCACAGGCGACGATGGGGCAGCGGAGGTGGTACGCCCACATCCTGTAGGGCACCCACAGGAAAAAGGGACTCTGGAAAAAGGGGTGGGCTGTGGCGGGTGGCTGGGTGTAGAGGGGCCGGGCACCTTGGTGGGTGCCACCACAGGCGGAGTTCAGATGTGAGGACACCCTGCCCGTTGGGTGCCCTCCTGAACAGTGCCCAGCCCACCCAGTCGTGCTGCTCTTCGGGGAGCGTCAGCCTCCAGCCACGTGGTAGCAGCTGAAACACACAGCAGTGTCAGACCGTTAGTGTACTGAACACAGACACACACACACTACAACACAATATGTCATCACTGAGCATACCTGTGCGCCGGGGCCTGACCTCTCCCCACAGGTGTTGTCCTGAAGGGGACGTTCCGGTGGCTGGGAGAGAGAGAAGGGGGGCACGGCTGATGGGGCATCCCTGCACGGGTCGACCTCCATGGCGGCAGCGAGCAGGTCAGCATCCGAGGGTCCATCCTGGGGACCAACAGCGTCCAGGGGTGGTTGTGGTGGTTGTGCTGCCAGGGCTGCCTTCTCTGCATCCCGGGCCTGCACATATTTTTTTAAGTCCACCAACCTGGACGCTTTGGCTGTGGGTGCCGCCTGCCTCACAAACTGTACATAGCTAAAAAAGAGAACAGAAATGCAATGGGTAAAAAAGTCACGCACACACACAGACATACACACACAGACACAGATACACACACAGACACACACAGACACAGACACACAGATACACACACAGACACACACACAGACACACACAGACACACACAGACACACACAGACACACACAGACACAACAACAACTTACCTTGCCCGCTCACGGTCCGTCGACTCGTACAGGGTCTTGTAGGTCAGGTCACTATGAACACCGAACCCCACCAGCGTGTCGTCCACGCCCCTCATGGTCTGGGGACTGCCCTCGAGCATCCTACGCCTGTCGATGGCTGCCACCATCGGCGGGAACAGCCTGGCGTAGGAGACGAGGGCGTCTTTGTGCACCATGAGGGCATTCTGCTGACTAGTGCCCCCTTTGTCTCTCTCTCCCTCGTGGGACACACAGATGGTGACTGCGTATCCCACGTCATTCTCCAGCAGCCACCGGAACGTCTGACCACGGTACTGGCCGAGCTGCAGCTCGCTCTCGGCCAGCACCTGATGGTGATCGGTGGGGTTACCTCCCTTCTGCACCACCCTGTCTCTTGCCTCAGAGCGCACCAGCTCAGGGGTCTTAACCACCACCAGGGCAGTGGCAGAGGCAGAGGCCCCCCTCTGGCGGCGGCTCAAGGCCAGCGCCTCCTGAGAGGCCCGCAGGGTCAGGTCAAGGTTTGCCTCAAAGCGGAAAATAGGCTGCATTTTCTAGAAAGACAAGAAATAAGATTTAAGTCAGTAATCTGCTACACATGCACTGTTTACATCCTACTGACAGTCTATTACTGTACTCAATGATACTGTGCCCATTCATTAACATACATTCAACATCAGGCGTCCTGTTTACACATTTAAACCATATTTACACTTTGAATTTTGACTTCAAACTGTAGTAACTACATCTACAGGGTCTAAGGAAGATAATCAGGTAGTCTGTTTAAAGATTAAATACATTGTGAGAGATCGCCAGCCCTCAGAAAAGTAGTAACTAAAATGACCTCATTCACCTCCTTGTTTTTAGCTAGCAAAATCACGGCTGGTCTGTTTACACATTTAAACCATATTTACACTTCAAATTTTGACTCCACCTCGTTGTACCAGCATACCAAGGGTCTTAAGAAGTGAGCCAAGTTGTCTCATCACGTTTTTAAAGCGTTTCCAGAGATCGTCAGCTCATCACAGCAGTGGCTAAATGCTCATTCATTCCCAACGCTTAGCATGCTAATAGCGATTTATATGCTAACGCATCTAAAGCACAGTTAAACTTTAAATATCAACTCCACACAATAGCAGTACAATATCCTAGGTCTCAACAAGTAAACCCAGTATGGGAATATTATTTTAAACACATTTCACCGATCGGTAATGACATCGGCGGCAGTCCTAACTTACGCTAACGTTACATTGGCTCGCTGTTTCACTGCTAACTGATTACTGTATAATATATAAGCTGCCTTTTCAATGTAGCACATAATTTTACAAACAATAAAGTTTGTCTAACCTTATAATATTGTGTGAATGTCCGTCCGTCCGCTCACTCAAACGCCGCTCAGTCCGAATGAATGAATGACACTGACCGTGGCTGTGGCTTTGGGGGTGGGCGGGACATGCGGCGAGCTGTCGAATCACAGCACAGCACCCAAATGGAACAGACCAATGGGGTTGACCTGGCCTTCACCCATTGGCCTGTTCCATTTGAGCATGAGCCAATGATAGCCTCTGAAATCGGTAGGTGGGGACATTTATGTGGAACACAGGTACAGAGACGAAGGCTGTCCCAGAGCAGAGGCGCTCCCCCAGCGTTCTTCTCTGTTTTGGTCGGCACCCGCGCATGCGCACTAGAGCGCAAAAGACGCGCGGTCGACGTGCGGAACGGCACTCCCGCTCGCCAGTTCGAATCCCGACGGAGGCAAACTGCGAAACGCGTGCATAGCGTCGAAATGTCTTCTCTAAATATAAAAAAATGATTAAAACATGCTTGGAACCGTTGTATAGAGTCTATAAATGATAATGAATTTGCATATTTCCAAGGCCAGGCAATGCAATAATAAATGGATTTTTCATTTACAGTACGGTTTATCTCCTGTGTCTTCATTTTATTGAGAATATGTATCATCAGTGTTTATTGAGAATATGTATCATCAGTGTTTATTGCTTTAAATTTGATATAGGACAAGAGAACAATGATACCAGTATAAAATGATGACAATTTATTTGAAATATGAAGTCAGATGTCCAGGATACAGGACAGTGCAGCATATCAGTGTGGAAAGGGCTTTACAAATAAAATACAATTCTCAGTAAAAAAGGGTAAATAAATTATTTATGTATAAATTAAAGTTACATGCTGTGTATGATTTGTTTCCCCTTTTTCTTCAGTGAAATAAATATCAATTAAATATATTGTTGTTGTGTTCTGCATCTTCACAACAACAACATCAAACACAGCAGAAGTACAGAGCAAAATAGATTATTTAAACTACAATCCAATAATAATAATAATAATAATAATAATAATAATAAATGGTGATGCAGAACAGAGCAGTGGCACAAGGCAATCACAGCAGGCAGACACATAGTATAAGAGCTCAGCAAAGATATGCATGGATACATAACACAGGGGCATTACAGTGTGAAGTACCTGTACATACAAGGCTTTTATTTTTTTTTTGGCAGCAACAGAGCCAGTGGCAACAGCAGATGAACCAGCACAAATGGCAGTCCGATATCTTGCGTCGCAGCTACTGGATGTAACTGATGTAACAGTGATCACATTAATGAACATACCCACATGTCCAAAATATAAAAAATAAAAAAACTTGTCAGTGCATAGAATCAGAACAGCACAGAGGCATGACAGCGTGTTATACAGGTGTGAATGGGACACACAATGATTTCCCCCCCTTAAACCATATGACAGGCAGCAGACACACAGCAGGCCTATAAGACTTGTCAGTGCATAGAATCAGAACAGCACAGAGGCATGACAGCGTGTTATACAGGTGTGAATGGGACACACATTTTTTTTCCAAGCAGAGTGTCACTGTGCTGTAGAAGAGTTGTGGCAGGGTGGGTGGACCAGTGTTGGT